TATCATACCATACTAGTTTTTTAAGTTTCAATGTATGATTGTAGGACTTCTTGAAATCAATTTTGATAACCATTCCTTCAATCTTTTTCTTTCTACAATTTTCAACAAGTTCATTGGCAATCAAAATAGCATAAAAGATCTGTCTTTCCTTGATAAAATCTGATTTGGCAGTAGGGATGGGGTCATTCGAACATCTTTCTATCTTAGGGAAAGGACTTTGGCTATTATCTTGTACAAGCTTGCCACAAGACCAATGGGCCTAAATCAGCTATATTAACATATTCTTTTTTCTTTGGGATGAGGGAGATAAACGTTTAGGTAGTGTTTGTAATTATCACAATTTTATCATTAAATTTATTAAATAATTTCGCCACATCATCATTAATAGAATCCCACAGCTTTGATAGACAGCTAGAGAGAACCTATCCAATCCCAGAGCCTTATCTGGAAAGCAATGAAAGTTGACCTATTTAACTTCTTCACATTTTCTCTATGAACAACTGGTCTGTGTCTCCCTTGTGGTTTCCCATGAAAGCGCATATTCAGTTTTCTAACAATTCCTCAGGAAGCATTGATGATTGCTTCTCAATATGCCTATATGCCTGGATAACAATTCCTTCACTGATCTCTGGTTTATGAGTCAAATTTTAAATTTTCCTCTCAATCTTATGGAGCAGCCTTATATTGTTGTTAAATTTTTTATGCACAATTGACCTTTGCTTTTATCTACACACATTTTCTGCTCTGATGATTAATTCCTCCAATCTGCTACTAGCTTTTGCTTCTCTCCATGCACAATGCATGTTCCACTTGATCTAGCAACCCATCCTTTTTCATGATTATCAATTTTTTGATTCTTTTCTCCAATGTCAATTTTTTCCTGCTTCACAGCCCCATGGATGGCTTTGTTCCACCACTTAAGTTTATTTTTAATGTTGCCAGCTTCATCAAACTTGTGCCCTCAAAACCTATGTGCTGCTCATTGTTCCGCCATTCTTCAACACTACTTTTTAACTACTGAGGTTGCAGCCACGTTTTCAAATTTAGAAGGCACAGGGCCCATTCCACAGCACTAGTATCTAGGATAACAGGGTAGTCGTCTGACATTCTTTTAGGCAAAACTTTCTGTGTAAAACATTAACCCTCTTCTTCTTACTTTGGTGAAAAAAAAAATCTATAAGTCTAAAATTATAATTTTGAGTGATATTGATCTTCTTTTGGGTCAGTAAACTCTAAGGATGCTTTTTGAATCTACTACATTGATTTGAACTCGGTTTTCATATTCAACATTGGACCTTAATTAGTTTTGGCAGTTTCAGTTTCAAATCAAAGATATTTGAATACAGATCAGTAATGGGTCAGTTAAAATTCTATAAATTGGATTTCTTTGAAAGTAACCCAATTTATATATAATTTGAACTTCATAACTCAAATCACATTCGCACTTGTTGTTTTATCGGGTATAGGCTGAAAATAGACAATTTTATTGGAACCCCGAGGGTTGAACTATGTCAGTGTTAAAAAACCTTTGATTTTCAACTAAGAGGTAAAGGGTTCAAATTCCCTTGGAGCAATATATCTGGGATAAACTATCCTACTAATTTTCTGGCTACCAAGTTTGTAGGTTTTGGAAGTAGCCCACAGTGTAGAACTCGATGAACATGTAAGAAAGATTAAGGGATCTTCTAGAATATATATAAAAATAAAAGACAATTTTATGGGGAGGTTAAAGTTAGTAAAAAGAAATCTCTGCTATATTAATTTGATTTTTCTGTATATATATATATATATATATTTTGGAATTATGTTTGGAAAGGGACGTGAAAACTTTTGAAGATATTGGTTAAGAGGTTTCGCTTTTTCTGGGAAAAAGTGAAAATTTGGGCTCCTCTTTCAGGGTTTATAACTTTGGAATCTAAGGAAGTCTCATTCTTCTTTATTAATCCAAATTGGGAGGTTCAATACTTGTTTGGCTTTTTCAAATTTTTAGCTAGGGTTCTATTAGTTGTAGATTGTGAGTTGACTTTTCTTTATGTACTTTTTGAGATCCTTTATGGGTTTTAGGATAACTTTTTTTTTTTTTTTCTTTTTTTTTTATGTACTATATTTTTCTTAATACATATTTTTTCTTGTTTAATAGAAAATATAAATAAATAAAATAATTTTTTTTAAATATCATACTTATTCTTCTCTCTTTATCGCACATTTGAAAGCGTAATGCTCTTGTTCTGTCTCATTGCGAGAGCTCTCCTTGTTTAATAGATAGTTTCTCTCATTTTTTCTTCAAATCAAACTGTCTTCTTCCTTCTGTTTCTCTATCACTCCCTCTAAGAATAATGAAGAGAATATAGTTGCTTTTTCTTTTTCTTCTTTTTTTCTCTTATTAATCATGACATGTATTTTTGAAATAATACTCTTGAAAGAACCCGCAAAGCTTACCTTAAAAAAGAAAGGCAAAAGTTTGTATATGAAATGGTTGAGAGAGAACTTCTGATTTACTTGTGTTCACAGGATTTTTTGTCCTATGGATTCATTTGATTAATAGAAAAAATATATTTTATCATTTCTAAAATTTTCAAGGAGCTTGACAATTAATCATAATATAAAAATTATGGTTCATCTGCCGTGGATTTATCTCTTTTTGATACAAATATTTTGAACTTCTTTACTTCTCTTTCCATCTTCCATTTATACCATGCAAACAATTCAAAATTTAAATTTGAATTGTTAATGAATTCTAAAAACACCTCTTGCCCAAGCCTAGCAATGGCTTGTCACATTTTCAAGTTCTCTGTTATCTCATTGGATTGAAGATCTGCAATGTAATTATTATGAGCTACAAGGTTTTGAATGCATATCGAAATCAAAATTTTATATCAAGTCCCTTCACAAACAAACTTCAATGCAACTTTAATCACATAATTACTAGGCCCAGTGTCAACTAAGAAACCACATTAATTGATTACCAGAAATTATTATCGTTTTCTTTTTAGTTATTTATATTATGTAACATGTCTTGGTCATTTAAGTTGTATGTTGTTTTTTTTTTGGGTATTACAGTTGTGATAGAATTATTATTTAAAGAGATGAATGGAAAAGAAAGCTAAATGTGATTTTATCTATTAGCAACATTTGAATGTAGACACTGGTTATCTCAAAATAAATTAATCCTTTAATTTTTTTTTTTTTTTTTTTTCAATTCATCTGTTTTAATCTCTTCCAACTCAGGCGTTAACCAGTTGTTTCATTCTAAATTCATCTGTTTTTATATCTTACAAGTCAAACATATCATTGGTTATAGGAGGGACAATGTTGCATGCTTAATTAACGGCAAACTAAATCTCACTTTATTTAATTGCAAGAAGTTATTCACAAGGTACTTCATAATTATTTATCTGATGTTACTTGTTATACTTGCTTGGAAAATATTTAATTCTACATAGTTTTTTAGTGCTAATACAGTTGTATTGACATTATTATTAACTCTAAAGGTTGGACATAGTGATAAAAGCATTTGGTCTCAACTTAGAGGTCTTGGGTTCTAATCACCTTGAAGCCACATACTTTGGTTATCATATTTCATAAATTTCTTAGTTACCAGGGTGGTAGGGTCTGGAGGTACCCCTAGTTTAGATCTCAGTCAACATGTAGGGAACGTGGAGGGCTTTTTTGGGTTTAAAAAAAAAATCCGTGTTGAAAGAGATGAATGGAAAAGAGTAATTCAGTGGGATTTTATTTGTTGTCAGCCTCATGTCTGGATTGTGGTTTTCTCAAATTAACCAATTCTTTCTTTCTAAATTCATTTGTCTTACCCATTACAACCCAAACATTAACCCATCGTTTTTTTTTTCCTCTCTCAAAATTCATCCGTTTTTGTCTCTTACAACCCCAGCATAAAATACTCAACTGCATTGTGAAGAATTTTTTTTTATTTTTTTATTTTAAGAACAAATGAAGTGAATGTTGTTATTGGAAAGGAAGCTGACAAGACCTCACGAGTGAGGATGGGTGGAAGAGGAAAACAAAGTCTTCAAGGTCTTTTTATTTATATGGCTGGAGTAGGGAGCCTTTAAGGCTTTTGATGCTAGCTGCAATCACTTCCTTTTTTTTTATTATATACTGATAAAATAAATGTCACATTCCACGTCTAGATACTAGCTGAGTCAAGGGAGTCCAGATTTGAGAATTCTTCTATCATTCTATGCTTAAATCTTCTTGGTAGAACCTCAAGTTTCTGTTTAAACTGTTGTGCAATGTCTTTAGGTTGTAATGGAAAAGCAATGTAAATAATGTTCAAACGGTTAAATGGTTTGAGGAAATCAGAAGTACTAGGTAGCAAACTAAAGCCACAGGAGGTTTTCCTTTTTGTAGATGTCAGTGTACAGTCAATTTCTTTAATTTAGGAATTTTACCTTATCTATTGAAAACGCACAACCGGATGGCCTAAATTTGGGTTAGCTGTGGGGTAGGATTGAAAACTTCATGTATTCAAAAAGCTGAAACGATAGTGGATTAGATTTCAGTTCCATAATATTCCGGCTAAAGGAAATGTAATTAGTGATATATATCCGTATATATGGTGATTGGTCAGGGTTTTAGATGAAATGAAATTAGTCTCAGTAAACCATGAAGTTCCCAACCAGTTCGAACTGACTGTTAACGCTTTGGTTCGATGAAGAAAAAATTCAATTGACTTTTCGGAGGATCTTTCCTTCTAAAAAATTTTCTACTCTATATTATGTAATCACATTCTAAACAATGCCTAGGTTTATGTAAAGAACATGATTAACGGTACCTATGGTGGTGGTAGAGTTGGGCAGTGGATTGATGTTGTTGTGTTCATTATTTACATTTCCTTTTTTTTTTTTTTTTGTGTTTTTGGGGGGGGGGGGGGGGGGGGGGGGGAATTATTTTTCATAATGCATTTTATGTTATCTCGTTTTTACTGTTTAAAGTTTTATTTCTTGACTGTCCGCTTATGTAGTTATTTATTTTTCTAAATGTTGATTGTACGTGTACAACTTTTATTTATTTACTTGTTTATTTTTGTAGTCCTGGGAATAAGTGGCGCAACTAGGCATCTCTTGGAACAGAATTCTCAAGCTTTTAGTCAAATCACAGGCAACCTTTCTAGATTTAAGGTGAATGGCTCATTCTTTAGTTCTTACTGATTCTTTGACAGATAATCTGCAAATAGCTTTCTTCCAATAATTAATGTTAGGGTTTGAAATAATAATTTTATGTCGTTGGCTCATTCACCATTATTAGCTTAAATCATGCTGACTGCAATATACTATTCAGCCAATAAGCATTTTATGATGAACATTGCTGGAACATCATCTACTATTTTGAAGCCTCCCTTCTTCTTTTAAACCAAGTATGGTGTGATAAAGCAGATATATCTGTCATTAAAGTACTGAGAGTACTTTAATTTTGTGTGAAGTTATAGTAGATGTAACTTTGAAAAGGGGAATTGATGGGTTCATCTGGGACACGGGTGTGCTCAGGAGATGGGAGGCTATCCTTCAAATTTTAACATTTTGCATTACATTTTGTGCATATTTATTTCGGAACATATATTGATTCATGCAATATTAAGTGCTTGCTTCTCTCTGTATTTCTTGTTCTTTATTCGCAAAAGTAAATTGTTGATAATGTTTCAAACAGTTACAGGATAACGTAGAACTTTTCTGTCACACGAGGAACAATATTATTGCCATCCTAAATGAGTATGTTGACACTTTTATAGAATCTTCAATTTGTGATTGAAGCCATTTGTTCCCATTTTGGTTTGTGATTAAGTGTCGTATTTTTTTTTTTTTGGGTTTGTGAAAATGTTTTTTTTTTTTTCCTGATACTTGCAGCATGAGAGACATGCCTGGCATAATGAGCCAGATGCCACCTTTGCCTGTATCCATTAATGGCGATCTTGCTAATAGTATATTGCCTCATACAACTCAGGTGAGCTTTCAGGCTATGTAATTCTGTTTGTATATTGCTTGGGGATCACCCTGGTTTGCCACCCCTTCCCCAACGCACATGCGCACATCCACACAAACACAAAGAAAACCCAAATAATTAGTTCACTGCTGAGATATTTAGGAGACTACTACAATGTCCTAAATTTTCTGCTGTTAGAATTTCATTTCATTAGTCAATTCTTATTATATAATTAGCTTAACTTAGCAAGAGAGAGAGTTTTGTAATTAGAATTTGATTAGATCTTATTTATTTCCTCTTTGAATGATTGTTTTTGATTACTTCTTAACTGTCATTAATGTCTTTCTGCCAATTATTTTCACTATATGATTGTTTTGCTCTTCTTTGAATAAGTTACTTCTTAACGATGTCTGTTTTCAAATTTTTTTATTTTATTTTTTTTGTATTTGTCAGTTAGTTTTGACATGATTTGTTGTTTGTGAAATATTTTATATTACTAGTATTTCATTTGATATATTTATGTATAATCTGCATGAGAGTGGTAATAGTGATTTTATACCCTTACATCTCTTAAGTTTCTTTATCCTTCATTCACATATATCTAATTATAATAAGATTAAGAGAATGGTATTCACTATGATTAGATTTTATTTTGAAAGGGATGCTAGAATACTTATATGTATATATATTCATATGCATATACACGCACACATACACATTATATGATAAAGTATAATAAAATTTACAACTTTGAAACCTTCTCCTCCACTGGAACAGTACCCTTCAACATTACACTTTATCTCAAAATAAAGCTGTCATCCAAAAATCATAATTTTTTTTAAGTTGGCTTACAATTAGAGAGGCTATAAATGTTGATTTTCATGCTAGGATAATTTGCTTTCCCCATATAATGGAAATAACAACATTGGGGATTTATGAAAATGTGGATTAAAGCCAATGTCCGCTAATATGAGATTTTCTGAAGAAAACAAGGGCAGAAAGGGTTGGTTCTTCATAGTGGGAACTTGCAATGAACAGAGTTAGTATTATCAGGAATGCTGCAGTTATCAAAACTCAGCTTGTTTGTGCTTTCCAGATGAAGTAAATAACAAATGGACAAGGGATGTTCCAAAAATTAGATATCTAAGTTGAAAAGTGTTTAGAGAAGACTGATTGCCTGAAATTTTACAAGGACCTAGATAAGGGCAAAGAGGTTTAAAGCAGATTGGCTACCCACTACCAAATGTTTTGAGTAAAGGAACTGCTCACAAAGTACCGATCAATTGTCTCTGAAGTATGCAGATGATCTCAAAGGAGACAAATTGAAATCCTAGTGACTCCATAAAACCGCGCTGATCATTAGGACTTTTAATTTTTGAAAATGTGCCAAGCCAAGAACACAATTTCGGAGGGACATTACTGTTCCAAGTAATTTTGGACCAAGGAACTTCAGATGCTTGACGAAAAGCATCTATATTTGCTATCGAAATCATTTTTTTTTTTTAACCATGATAGAAGTAAGATCCATATGCATAGCATCCCTTGCAAGCTGAAAGACTTCATGGGATATGACAGAGCAGATTTCTAATAATATAGTGAATTTTGGAAATAAATGAATAGCAATCATATCATTTGAATGATTGGTTTGTCCAGCCATTTACTAGACCAGAAAAAGGTATCATCTCCATTACTAATTACCCATCTGATACTCAAGTAAGGCAGACAAAACCATTTCATTACTTGGTCATAAGGAAGATTTCCTGTGGGCTGCAGGAGGACCAGAACAAGGAAGCTGAACCTGCATTTAAGAGACTGCCTCCAAGGAGACATGTTAACATTAGATTTCAGTAAAACATCAGCAAAGCTTCCTTTTAAAGATAAATCAAATTTAAGGACTGATGCGTCCTCAGGAAGACAAACTTTACTGTGAGCAACCGAAACAAGTTGTTTAGAAAGTTGATCCCGAGTCAACAAAACGTTCTGATTCCTTTCATCATGCATATCGGAAGATTGATTGGTCAATGATAAATATAAAAGCTACTGACTGAATCAGCTGGGCTTCAACCCGCCATAGAGAGCCATTTTACTGCTATTAATCTGAAGGTTTGAAGATTAAGTCTTCTAGGAAGTCTTCTAGGAGATCTTCTCAAGACGGGAATCCCTAAAAATGTGAGCGAATTCCTTGAATGCATGCCAAGAAGAAAGTAACTTCTGTGTTTATTGATCACCTGCGCCAATGATTTTAAGAGAGTAACAAAAGAAACTACAGCTGGTTTTTAAGAGTACAAGTAGCCTCTGCAAAACACACAAATATTATCAGCATACAAAATTGGAAAGAGGAATATAACGCTGAGGTGAGTAGATGGGTTTGATTTGACCATCGTCAAGCATCTTGGTACAACTTCAGCTTAGGGTTTCCTCAGTAATGTAAAATAAAACTGGAGAAAAAGGATCCACTTGAACATGGTTTAGAGTCATGAACTTGTGGAGGCCAAATATATTAAATACGGCAAGTTGGAAGAGGAGTGGGTAATATAAAAATATAATTTAAAATTTTTCCCCTGCCCTTGATGAAAATCCTTGGCCAACTGAAAAATCCCTTCGGAGTTCCTTCTATTTGGCAGACTTGAGAAAATTTCTAACCTATTGAACAAGAAAAGAGCATTTATACCACTAGTGGGAAAGAATAAGTCCAGTCAATGGTTACCAGAAGCTTTAGCATACCAAATATAAGGTTTAAGTTACCTCCCTGGATTTTGTATTGAGCATTTGAATATTCTTAGACCATGGGCATGCAATCTGTAATGGACCTGTTTCTAAAAAGTTGCCTAATAAGGAGTGATTTTACATGCAATCACACATTCTATTAGCCAAAATTGGGATTTTTTTAGTAGGAAGTTGACTAGTGCAACTAACAGATATGGTGTGATAGAATTCACATTAGAACTCTTAAGAATAAGCACTTAAAAATTAAAGTTCATGCTTGGATAGTCCATCATTAAAAAATAAAAAAAAAAATTGTTTGATGCAAGAATGCTCATTAACTCCCACGATATCTGAACAAAACTGAAAAAGAGTGTCTGGTCTTGTAGTGCTTTCAAAATCAATATAGAAGTCAAGTTTTGTTTTGCCCATCATGGATGGCTGTCAGACTGTTATTGTCCTGGAGTTGGAATTGCCTATTCCCTGAATATTCCGATAAATAACTCTCATTGTGAGGTTTGCGTGGACAGGCCAACAGATAAGGATCAACTCATTAGAATTTGTTCTCTTTTTGGACGTGACCCAGATATGATAACATCAGACCCATTGTTATTAAGATCGGAATTTTGGACAGTTTCGAATACATCCTTGATTTCTGGAAATACCTTTAGAATCTTAGGATGCCAGTGTTCAATACTCAGGGCATAGATGCTAATCCAAACCTATCAAACAGATTGTCTTTGAGGTGAAGGGTCAAACTTAGGTTGGATGAAAGATTACTGAACTGAGGTTGCAAGAAACATCCCCTCCCCAACCCCAGACTTTCCTTTCCTCTTATCTTACTCGCTATTGAAATGGATGTGACAAAACCTTGTCCAGAAGGATCGAGATACCATGCATTCTGTGGCCTTCATTGTTGAGCAAATAATTTTAGGCTTAGATCCTTTAAAAAGCAATGGTCTTCCAATAAGATTCGTCTTAAATGATTCATGTTGCTTCTTGGTTTAGGCTCTGTTGCATCTGCAGCAAGGGAGTTAAATTTAACGGCTATGAATTATGACAATTAGTTTGTTTTGTGTTAACAAGGCAGCAGGTTCAGAGTTTAATATCTTAGGGTTTTTAGTGGCTATTTCATCCAAGATAGTAGCTGCCATTTGAAAGCAAGGAAGGGAACTGATTAAATGAGGAAAATGAGGGAAATAGAAAAACCCTAGTTCAACATTCTTCTAACTGATATTGTAATAATCAATTTAGGGCTATACTTCCACATGAATTGTTGGAATGTACTCGGTGTCAATCAAAATCTTTCTGGCTATCTCAATTTATAATTTTTCTCTAAACTGCAAGATTTTTTTTATTATTGGTCAAACTAATATTTTCATTTAACTTTTAACTGTGTCATTTTTACATTTTGTAGTTCTTCTGACCTAATCTTCTTTGGGAATTTTGCTACATTCGTACTACCATTTGTTTGATACTTTCTCAATCATTTCTATTATTTATGAACTAAACTTGGCCTGAGAACTTTTTGCATGTGGAATACCCTACTATGTATTTTGTGAATCTGGTTGCAATTATTCATCTAGACATTGGATGAAATGCATTTAGGTAAGATGAATGATAATTGTTATAAGCTATTTTCTTTGAAAAAGGAATAAAAGAATAAAAAAAAATAGATTTTTTTCATCATACACCAGTTGACAAGTATAGAGTCATAATGAATAGATTGTCTAATAACTGCCCTGATAAATTGAAATTGTAATATTACAAATTGCTTGTGGGAACTAATTTTACATTTGTGTTCATTTCAGTCAATGATTCTTGGCTCGCCAATGGGGATCCAACTGAAGCAGGAACCAAGATGCTGATGGATAATTGTTGAGGTTGATATAACTGGTCTGTAAGTACAAAAAAATTTCTACTGTAAATGTGTAAGAAGCTGGTAGGAGGCTGTTCTTCCCTTGTTGTACACATATTTAGTTACATATTTGGTGCCATAATGGAAAAGATCCCCATTTTTGGAAACCTGAAATGTTTAGCAATCCAGATGTGAGATCGAAGCACCATATAGTAATAACACCAACTTTCTATCATCTGCTGGCTGCAGCTACAAAATCTCTAACCAGATTAAGCTGAATTTTGAGTTAAAAGCTCCATGTGTACAAAATCAATTCAGTGGTCCTGATCTGCCACTACTACATGTATGCTATTGTGTCAGTTTTCCAAACCCCTTTAACATACCATATTAGACCAATACGAATGTTTGATTATTTTCTTTTATGTTATTATCATGATTGGTGGGGCTATTAAATGATGTGACTTTCTTATATAGTCAATTAAAGATTATATTATTTATCAATTTACATTTGAAAACTTCATTATCAGGGAAGCCCTTGGATCCAAGTAAGGTTGTAGGATACTATCAATTAGCCTGCAGCAAAAAGTAGCTCTAAAAAATAAAATATCAAATAAACAAGGAGACAAGAATGCCGATCAAACTAAGAATTGATCCATTGTTGTTTTGCTTGTGCTTGGACAAAAAATCTATAGCTTTCTTGTGAATTTATCATACGTATGATTGTGTTTTCTAGAATGATTTAACTTCTTATTAATAGACCATAGTTGAGTGCTCATACGATGTGTTCTAAAATGATTTGTAACATGACATTTCTAGGCTCAATTTTGAAATCATTGACAGGAAAAGAACCTGGTTGTAATTGTCGAAGGTGCTGAAATTGCTTGCAAAGGTCTTTGTAGCGCTTTAAAAAAATCTCAAAAGATCAAAGAGTGTTGTGTGTTGTTACCTGACTAGTATATTATATCCACTCGCCTCCATCTGCATTTGATTCGCATCCGAGTTGCTGTTTTTGTTTTAGTTTAGTACGTCTTGTCGCATCGTTGTCATTGTCTAAAGTCCTCCAGAGCTTCGACAAATGCTTTGTTTTTCTGAAATTTTGCTTTGCTCAATTGCTATACTACATTATTTTCTTGCTAAAAACTGCCAAATTGTTTTAGACATGCTGCATTTTCTAAAATATTGATGGATTTGTGATAAGTATGACCTGTTTTCTAAAATATTTCACTTCATAGACATCTTTCGCAGCCCTATCTTCTTAGATAACTCAAAAGTTGAGTAGCAACATTCTACTTTTATGGAAAAAGATCATTGCATGCCGTTGTTTTACATATATTTTTTATGTTGTTTCACTGTCTTGTGTTTGGGATTATTTGTAAAGTTTTATTTTTTTTTCAGCTTTAATTTTTTATGAACTTTCAATTTAATTATCTAGAATTATATTTTAGGAATAGTGATGGTGGGGGTATATAGTATAAGGTAATGAAATGTTATCTCTTTTATTATATCAAAAATGGAAAGAATGGCATTTATGAAATTTATGGGGTTTCATAAATAAAAGTAATTTTGAAATGATGTGTATAAAGAAATGGAGATTATTTAGTCAATTAATAGGATGTCAATTGCTCCACTCTTGTAGAGCAATTTCAACATTACCATTGTAATGCCCAATATCAGAACAGAAGTGTTGTAGCCTTGTAGGTCTTATTCTAACTTGATGCAAGTTATGTTCGGCCCATGTGTTGTGTCTGGCTGGTTTTACCCTTTCATTTCAACTTCATAGAGAATTAGGGTGAGTTTGGAGTTGTAATTTCTCTAATAAGCACTTATTTTATAAGCTATTTATGATCTCAAATGTCTTTGGTAACCACAATTTAAAAGTGATTATAACAGAAGTTGATTATTGAATATTCTATTTCATTAAATGATTCCAAAGGTAGATTTTTGTATCTTTTATAATTCAAAAGTTGCTTTTGAAAAGTCTATTAAAAAAAAGCTTCATATATGTAAAAAAAAAAAAAAAANAAAAAAAAAAAAAAAAAAAAAAAAAAAAAAAAACCTTCATATATGTACAAAAAAAGTTAAATAAATAATTTAATAATTTATTCATAAATTTAAAATCATTCGAATGGTATTAGGTTGACTGTCAACGGTGGTCAACGTCAATCAACAATACCTATGTTAATAATATATCTTAATAATAATAAAACATATTTTGCTCTTTTGACAGTGAAAAATAGTTACTCGTAAAGATAAAGGTAAAAAGCATGTTGGCGCTAAAGAGGATTCAATTGTTACCGTGAATGACCGTAACATCACTAGTAAAAAGTCTCTAAAGCAGCAAGGGGGTGATTCTTCTACCGGAGCTGGTCGGATTTTGAGAAGGAGGAGTATCCCTCATGGTGTTTGTGTGGTTGGCAAGTGAGCCTCCTGCTTGGCTGTGGTTGTTGCTTGTGTTGGGATGGTTGGGTGGTTATTTTGGGTGTTGGGCTGGAGAAGGTGCAAGCAGGTGGAGGGGTTAAGGGTTGCTCTGAGATGGGAGGAAATTTAACTCCCCAGACATCCCAATTTAGCATTTAAAAAAATAATCCTGAAAAAATTTTGCAATTTTTTTTTAAGCTTAAAAAACTGACGTGGTACAATTAGGATTCATTAAACATGTAAAACGGGTTAAACTGAAAAGATTTAAATATATGTGGGTAACATTATAATTAATAGAAGTTTGTTTAAATTTTGAAAATTAAAAACGACCCCCCTTCGCCAAATAAAATCGATTAAGCGGACTCAATCGCTTAATCGACCCTAAGAAAACCCCGACGAAACAACCGCCCTTCACCATGTTTTTCATGCCGTTTTCTGCCACCCATTGTCGAAATCGTTTGCTGTTTGTATTGAAAACATTCCCTCTTACTTAGAAAGAAACAATGGCTGACTTAAACAAAGATTTTGACAAAGACCCATCCCTTCTTCAAATCGTGGACGCAAGTGGTTCGAAAATTGGAGAATCGGAGGTTGAGGTGGAGCAACTTCTGATGACTGAAGTTGGTCCAACAAGAGATGATACGACGCCGGCAGAAGACAACCTGCTAGGTGAACAAGGGAGGGCAAGAGCCGAAATTGAAAATGAAGAGGAGGATGCCGACGCAACGTCAGGCGAGAAGGAGGAAGATGATGAAGAAAAAGTAATAATCTATATATTTTATGAAATTATTGGTTGTTTTAAGGGATATTTGGTTGGTGTGTTGTTAGGGTCATTGTTGCATTTTGTCGAACAGTGGGAGGGCATTGGAGAAATGGGTGTTTTGGTCTTCTAGAGGGCTGGGGAAGCCAATGGAGGCCCTAGGGAGGTTGTTTGTGGTAGTTTGGATGGCTTTTGTTGGCAAAGAGAGCGGAATAGGGGGGCTGTGGGACTGCCCTGCAATATGCAGGCAAGCCCCAAGCCCCTCATATGCAGATCTCTTCTGCTTAGTCTAGAGCACCAAACCTACCACAACAGTCTCCTTTGTCTTCACGGATCTCTAGAAGCCAAAAACAACCACTCGCCCAATGCACTCCAACATGTTGCTTGTTTTGGTTTTTTGTTGTGCTGATATGTAGTGTATATCAATTGTGATGTGTTATAAGAGCATAAATTATAAGGATTATGGGCTTGAGGTTGTAAATGATGTTGTGCCATACTTCCTGACAAAGCTTACTGTTAGGTCTAGTTGGCAAGTGTTTAAGAAAATTAAGGACATTCTAGGTGGGTATTAGAAAGGGATGAAGTGATTTAGAAACTCATGTTTTGATCATTTTGTGGGGTTGGGAGATAATTGGAGTAAGGCCTTCTGGGGGCAGGGCGCACATTATCTTTTGATGCATGCTGTTAAATGCAAAAAAAAGAATGAAATGTGCTTTTTGGTCGATGGAAAGCCGATTCGGTTTGGGATGATGGAATTCTACTTAATGATTGGCCTAAATTATGGGCCATTTCCAAACGTAGAAGTTGAAGAAAGGGTAAAGAATAGCAAGGCTATCGAAACATTTGTTAGAAAGGTGTTCGTAGGGCAGCAGTCAATTATGGGTCATGATTTAGAGGAGAGGTTAGAAGCGGAAGGAAATCAGTATAGCTCTTTAGAAAAGTTCCGAATGTGCTTGGTATGGTTCATGCATTCAGTCTTGATGGCTTATGACTCAACGAAAGCCGCAAACCAGGATTGGGTGCGATATGCAAGTAATGAGGACTTCTTTTATTCTTATCATTGGGGAAGGTTATCATTTATGTTAACCATCGATTCCCTGCAAGGAAAAGACATGACGATTAAATACTGCTAATATGCCGAGAAGTGGAAACCCAGCACATACAATTTTTTTGGCTTCCCTTGGGCAATGTAGTTAAATATTAATAGGTTTTAGTTTATTTTTTTGTATTATATGTGTTTTAATTTTGATATGGACTATTTTTTTACAATGTAGGCTTGGATATATGAGGTCATCCCTGTCCTAGCTAAGGCGTGGGGGGGGGGGGGGGGGGGGGGGGGGGGGGGAAGAGGGCAGGTGGAGACTTCGGATGAGGCACCACAATTTTCTAGGATGTTACGGTGGCATGCCAAGAAGAGCGCCCATTGGGACTATGAGAAATTGACATGGAAATTCAATGGTTCGAGTAAGAAAAGGGTTTGTGTTTTGAATATGTAATAGATTAAATGGTTTTTGTAAATTTGATTTATTTTTTTTTCTTTTTGCAGGGAGTGGTCCATCCGTTCATCACTCCTACTAGGGCTGAATCAGTGATGGATTATGTTACATCGTTCAAACCGTTAGCAATGTTTTTGATGAGAAGATAGACCGCGTATGTGAGACTTAGAAGGAGTCACGCATTTGACTGCAGTGGAAGGGCTGCTTGTGAGCATGTGACTGAGGTCAAAGGCTAAGTAGGCAGGATGGAGAGGAGGAGACATGGAGGGTCCGTTTGTAGCTCTTCTAATTGCCAAACCAGTACACCAATTACCATGTTTGCCACTAAGTATCGATTTGCCACCAAGTACTGGTTTGCCTACGCATCCTCAATCTAAGTTGGTTGACCTCATAAATAGTCTACACAACAAGTTTGACTTGTTGAGTGACAAGTTTGACATGTTGAGCAGCACCGTTTATAAGAAGGTAGATAAATTGGAAGAGAGGGTGCAAAGGGTGGAGGAGATCGGTTGATGTGTTGTTGGAAAGTTCAACCTAAGAAAAGAGAGACCCGAAAAAGCAAGCATGTGACATCTCGTTTCATGCAATTAAGTTATGAAAAGAAGATGAGAGTTGAAAAAGAAAAGGAGGAAGTTGGAGGAAGCGGGGAAGCTAAATCGGCTGATACAGAGGAACAAGGAGGAAGTGGGGAAGTGAAGCAAGCTGATACGGAGGAACAAGGAGGAAGTGGGGAAGTGAAGCAAGCTGATATAGAGGAACAAGGGGGAAGTGGGGTAGTGAAG